TCTGCGCTTATTTGGGATGGCAGTCCTCCTGAGGGTTCAGGTTATCCTTGCGACGACTACTGTCGTCGAGTAACTGCGTGGCCAGTCAGACATCAAGGTTAGGTTACTGCGACTGACGGCCGCGCGCCACCTATCCTACCCATCCAGACAGACGGGGCGGCTTTATTTCGTTCGCGCACGGGCTGCGTGGAACACGCAGCCAAAGTGGACGTTTCCCACGTGCATATTGCGTTTCTCAAACTATTTTTGCTCAATTGTGAGTTTGTGACCCAGAGAGCATCAGAATGAGGATTTAACGCGGGGACGCGCGCGCTCCTAGAAGTGCGTACCTACATACCGCTACAACTATCAACGATCGACAACAGCCGGCCCTGGCCGCGCCCTGCCGCGCGGCCACATTCCATTGATCAGGCATGCAACCACGCTACATTCATACATGTTGCTCTCTATCGCAATCTTATCAGACATACGTGTGCATTGATGCTGGTAAAATCAGTACTGCTTGGCTGTGGCATGGCGAGCGACGGCGGGGTAATAGCGTAGGTTTTCTGTGGCATACATACGCACGTTTAAACCGTATGTACGCAAGTACGTATCAGATGCCTCGTCTTGGAGCACGTTCTGGAGCAAGTCGGTCTTGGAGCGTCTTAGCTGCATTATTGATGCATGTTGTAAGATAGCCTACATAGCCTTCTCTGAGCACAGCGTCGCGCGTATCGTATGTACCGAGCGCACCCCACAGCTTACGTACTCCCAAAATGTGTTCCGTGGTCAGACACCACGTTAGGTTCTTGGGAACGCCATGGAGGCGTACGACACTGTCGGTAAACAGACGGGCAGCATCAATGCACGGCAGTGCAGGTAGCTAGTTGTGGTGGGTGCCATCCAGATGCATGCACAATCTTCAGTCAGACGTGCGCGCGGTCTACCAAATCAAGATCGCGCCGAGCGAATCCCCCCGCCCTCAGTTTTGGGGAGCGCAACCAAGTCAAGCGAAACGCTGTCCCAAGGTGCGTTGGGAACATGCAAGGGCTGGAGTCCAAACCTCTTCGTGCCATATATACGTGGCCACCAAAAACGTCGTCGGAGCAGTTCCGTCCCAGAGTCGTGCGATCGCGCTATGTAGCTGTCATCCAGCTCCTCTGTAATTAATTATTAGTTAATTCGGTAAGCGCGCGCGATGTCGAAGTTCATGCAAGGGGATATGTAAAACTCAGTCGCTAGCTGCAAACGGTTGCGCGCTTCGCGCATCATACACGAGCGAGGACAGGATCGATCAAACAAATCTAATTACAACACAAATAAGCAACGCATGCATAGGCAATGCCCATGCTTTGGATGGATGACCTGCGCAGCGCGCGAGCGAGGCAGGGCACGTGATCTATCTTCCCGTTTAATAAGAAATGTCGCGGTTCTTGAAAACTTGCATATATGATTCATTTCCCTTCTCTGCATCTTTGTTTGTACTCTGTTGTTTATACCGCAGTATCTCTGTTAGGGTTGCGAGTCTCCCGCGCCCGGCGCCTGAACGCCTTCCCTGCTCGTCCGTACGTACGTCGCACCTGCATGCCTCTTCGCCTACCCAAAACCTCGTATCCGTTACTCTTCCATCTCAAAGGCCGCCCACCGTACGGCATTGCAAGCCATCATCTATATAACCATTCTCCGAACAACCATTGGACATCAATTCAACGCTCAGCAAGCACAATGGTTCGATCGGAGAGCCTCGCTGCGGCGGTTGCCTTGCTTGTTGCTCTGTAAGTGGACGGATGACGAGGTTCGCTTTCGGCTATCAGGACCCCGAGGCTAGCCTTTCCATCGCACTAAATGTCACTTTTGGCAATAGACATTATTCCAGCCCGCATTCGTTCCTCGCCTGGTAGAATTGCCATACATCATAGTCCCCCAAATCCTTGCAGTCGTCGGTTGGCGATACATCTTCCACCGAAAAGCGAAAGTGTTCGGTCGCGACTTTCCTCGTGACTAATACAAAAATGCTATGAAAACCTTTAAAGCGTTTTTCTTCGTTTTTCTTGGCTTGATCGCGCCGCAGGGCTGCCGCCGGAGCCTACGCCCAGACGACGCCGCCGCCGTCGAACGTCATCCTCCTGCCGACAATCAACACGCCGCCGCGTCCACCTCGTTCACCGGCCCCGCCAAGACCGCCACCGCCGCTGCGCCAGCCGCCTTCTCCCCCGCCTTCCCCACGGCCACCCTCCCCCTCCCCACCGTCTCCCTCCCCGCCCTCACCTTCGCCGCCCTCCCCTCGGCCACCCTCCCCCTCCCCACCGTCTCCCTCCCCGCCCTCACCTTCACCGCCCTCCCCATCACCACCCTCCCCCTCCCCACCGTCTCCCTCCCCGCCCTCACCCCCGCCGCCCTCCCCACCACCGCCCTCCCCTCCCCCGCCGCCGCCTCCACCGCCACCTCCCCCGCCGCCATCCCCTCCGCCGCCATCCCCTCCACCGCCATCCCCTCCACCGCCTCCTCCGCCGCCGCCGCCACCCCCGCCGCCCTCCCCACTACCTCCATCCCCTCCACCGCCGTCTCCGCCCTCTCCACTGCCTCCCTCCCCACGGCCGCCCTCTCCACTGCCGCCCTCCCCACCCTCCCCCTCGCCGCCTCTTCCCGTGGTGACACCTGTAACAAACGATACCTTCCCTTCCTGCAAGTAAGACTGGGTTCGTTCCAGGGATAAACGAACCATCACCTAATCACGGCTGGTGTGAAATGGCGGCGGCTAATTACCGATCCCGTGTGTTGATTGTAGCGCGTGCTGATCCATCCATCCAACAACCAACCTAGTCTGAGTCCATACAACGCTCGCATTGTAGTGCGGTGACTATCTTCTTCGGGCTCGTTTCAGTGCGGCTACTTACTTCTTCGGGCTCCAGTGAAACTCACCGGCATGATGATGCGCCCCCACGACAGGTGCAACAAAACCGCTGGCGTGACGCCCTACGGGATCGCCCCCACCTACACCACCTTCCCCGGCAGCCGGGCCACCACGACGCTCTACTGCTTCACCATTGTGTCCGTTCCCGTCACAGTTGTGGACGTAAGCAAGCGAGCGAGGCAGGGCATGCGTTATGAAGGTCCATGGATGGTGGTTGCTTGCTGGCTGCTGCGTGCTGGGTTAGCTGAGTTCGTTCCCATGCGGTGCTTCAGGGATAGATCCCTCCGGGTGGGCAATCAAGTTGCCGGCTGAGAACACACAAGAAGCGGTCCGGGAAGGTTACTGTTGTGCATGGCTAGCGGGGGGCCTCCTATCTATGATGAGTGGCAAAGCAAACTCTGCATTTGCTCTGTCACTGCCACCAACCTGATCCGCCGCTACTGTCCGGGCTTGCCAATCAATGAGCTCAGCCCTGCCCAGCCCACCCCAGCCCATCCATTCATACGGCCGCCGGTTCCTACATCTATCGCCTCGTTTGCTGTGCGTGTGGACACGTCATTATGCACGCACGTTGTCGTACGTGCAGGCCAGCTGTGGAGCCGTGGATACGCTGAGCAAAATCGAGTTCTTTGCAAGTAAGCCGTTATTAGTAGCGACTGCTGCTGGAATTGCCTTACTTCCCACGTAGGATCTCAAGAAGCCATCGACCCGTACCGTGTACCGTGCAAGCCCCTTGATTGCCCCCTGTTGCCTGCCTAACCTAACCAGCGACCACGCACTCGCTTTGGCCGCTTTGACCGCTCAACCGCTCTTGCTTGCTGCAGATCGGAACCTCAATCAGTCAGTCAAGGGGTTCATCCTCATTCCAAACAACGGTGGCCCCAATGTGACTCTCGCACGGTCACTCGGACCGGGCAACAGCACGCTTAAAGGTAGGCGGAGTGGGATTGGAGGTGCGCGGCTTTGGAAAGTCATTTTTGGGAAGCCATCGCAGCCGGCGGGACGACCACAGGCAAGACACGCCAACGGGGGCCGGTCAAGAGCGGAGGCGAGGGCAGCGAGGGCGGCAGTGGCAGGCAGCGAGGGGGCCAGAAGGGGGTTAAGGAAGATGGCGCCTGGGATAGTGAGGGCGGGGCCCGGTTGGTCGACTATTTTCGGAAACGCGCCTATCGTTTTGTACGAATGAATGTCTGTTTTACAGTGCGCGAGTGGGCCGTTTACAGCAGAGCTATAATGACCAATGCATGGGACGGAGCACATCAACAAAGGCACACCTATTAGCCGTCTTACCGGTATATAACCCAATAAAGCGCAGGGCTACATAGCAGGGAACCATACCAGGGAAGACTCGCTCGAACGAAACAACCGCTCACAGTAGGTGCCTCGTAAATGGAGGTGGCCACGCATGCAAATCCATGAGCGTCGGGAAAAAAAGTACTTCTTTACGTCGTCCAGGATTAAGTAAGGCGCCGGGGGCAGACCGATGAGGAATGTCCGCCCGCCGCATACCCTACCACGCACCCAGAAGCGCGGAAGTGCGTCATTCCATCCGTCAGAAGCTCCCGTTTGCCTATCTATCTATCTATCTATCTACCGTTTTCCATCCATTATTTAACTGCGTCGCCGCCTTTGAACTACCCCCCGCCCGTCATCAGCGACACCCATCGACTGGAACCAGTCCCAAGCCATTGGCAGCAAGGTGTGCGTGGAGCTCTACAACCCAATCACCATGGAGGACCTCTGCCTGGGTGGCGGCGGAAGTAACTGGTGAGCAATGCATTATTGTGCCAGGAGGTTCAGTTACGGTATAGCCGATCCATCCGTTGTATGTGGCGGCACGCGGGGGGCGGGTGATGAGCTTGCATGTCTATCTGCTCTAGCTATCTAGAGGGCCGGCTGGAACAAACGCTGGACGCGGCAGCCGCGGGTGGCTAACGTGGGATAGTTAATGATCTGACAGTTTGGGGTCTCCCACGCACTGGACGGATGGGGCATCGATCGGCGGCGCAGTGGTGATGAAGGCACTACCATCCTTCGCTGCGAACGAAGGCACTCCTCCCATCCGGCGGCGCATGCATCCGATGGGATATATAGAGTCTAGGCCGTCAGCGTAGCTCAGTTGGTAGAGCACTCGCTTGTCAATTCGGTGGTCATGGGATCGATCCCATCGTGCAGGGGCGCTCGAGAAAATGTCCCAGATCAATCAGTCCGCCCGTCAGGTCTGATTCACCCTGGTGATCGCGCCGAACGGAGAAGAAATTACTCCCTAGGCCCGGTCCCCTAAACACACGCGAGAGTCTGTCTCCGCGTAAAATTAATTAATTAATTAATTAATTAATTAGAGTCTAGGCCACAACCGACACACTCACACAACACACTCGCTCCGGCGACCCCCATGCCACGTATCCACGCGCCGCAGCACCCTGGTCGTCTTCAACAGCAACAGCCGGTGCTGCCCGCTCTACAAAGTGGTCCCGGCTGCGGCGGCGGGCCTTGCACCGCCAGTCCGCCATCGGCTACTGATCAACGCAAAACCTACAGAGGTTTAAGGGACGGATCAGGGTTCTAGGATTTCAGGGTTTGGACCGGCGCCCGATTGGTCCGCCGGCCAAGCAGCAAGCTAGCATGGACTGCCACATACAGCTGCCTCGCATGAGCATTGCGTCATTGAGTGGTTGAGCGGGCGCCGGCCGCTGCTCGCGTTGCATTGTTTGGTCGTCGATCGATCTTGGCTAGTCATGACCAAGGATGCATGGGTGGGCGGATGTGTGGCAGGACTTCCGGGCGGTGCAATCATTAAAACGACATTCATCATGGTAGGTCTCGTGCGTGCCTGAGAATGCATGGCAGCGTTGTCGAGTGAGCATTTTTGCTGATAGTGCAGCGGTGTCGAGCTACGACAAGTAAGCATAGGGATAGGAAAGGTGGCCTCCTTCGATGCATGTATGCGTGGTGCTGCAATGTGTGCTCACTGTACGTATGTCTCGGAGCCGGGACATAGGTACAGTCCGTGCGTTCCGTTCTGAAGCCTCTTCTAGCGAGTTTTTTGCACGGCGGGCAAGAGGGCAACAGCACGCGTATGCATCATTAATGACATACATGTCGGTCAGTTCCTTCGTTTGTATCCGCACGCACGGTGGTCATTCCCTTGCTGTGGTTTGCGTATATTTCGAAGGCAGGTAGGCAGCGAGTACTGGTGTCGTCAGTGTATGGTGCCGAGCGAAAGCGGTTGGCATCGATTGCAAACTAGTTCGTCGCGCGCGAGCTAGCGGCAGATAGATGGCGTGTATCTGGCCATTCAGACCGCCCTCTGCAAAAAATTTGGCATTGTGGCGGCTTTTGTATTAACTGGTTATTGCATGCAGCAGGATATCTACTTCATATTATTGTGCGTCCTGTTGGCGCGCGCGCGCATGTATGTATGTAGTGCGTGCGCAAGTTTACTTAGTGCCTGCCGTACCCGGTGGTGCCGCCTTCAGGCCTTCGTTCATTATACTATTTCTTGTTGTCCGCGCGTGGCTGGGTCCGTCCATCTACCTTCGCCAGGTCATCAACCGGTTACACGGCTAGCTTGCATCGCAGGCTTGTGCGTGTGTACACGTTATGGGATGGCATGCATGGATGACGGAAAGCAAGGAACGCGCGGTGCCGCATATAACGCACAGGTATTATTGGTTGTGCACGCAGCTTTAGAGGATGGAATGAATGGCCGAGTCCATGGTGCCCGCCACCACCTAGAAGATAGATAGATAGGCCTCTTTCATACATACGGGCGACGTCCGCCTGTGCTGGGAGGCCTGTATCAGTCGGGATTTCGTCACGAGCTTGAGCTTTCCCGTCCGTTTTCATTGCCACGCAGCGGGCACATTATTCCGGCGTGCGTGCATGCATTATTGTTGCACGCCTCGCTAGGTGCCGCTCTCGCTTGTGGCTGGCCTGCATTGCATTGGCTGGTATGTATGTAACAATACTACTGATAAGACACCACACCCGGCGTGTTCCAGCCATGCGATTCCATCTGATGAGATTCCGTCTACTCACAGTCCTGGCTGCTGTTTGTCCATCTCCAGATAGATACCACAACGCCTGACCGCCCGCTCGCCCGCCCGCCGGGCAGGGCCGGGCGGCGGGAACGTCTCGGCGCAGGATGGAACCCACCCAGCTGGCGGCCATTACTCTGTAATTAATTGATTTAATTACTACTCTGTAGTGTATTTATTTTAGTTGGCTATCGCCTTCGTCGGCAACCCAAAGACTGCATATTATAGTACGGAGAGTCCTGGAGCGAGAGTCTAGCTACGGAGAGTTCAAACTCTAAAAATTTTGAATTCTAAAATCTTTTACGAAATATAAACGGCATATAACAGAGGAGACGGCAACCCAAATCTGCACTTATTTGCGGAGATTCTACGGAGAAAGGCGGAGAGTCATTACGGAATATAATTTGCATATTACGGAGGAGTCGGCCTTAGATAGTCGGCAAACAGCGCATGCAGCGCCGCCACGGATTCAGGCCCCGAAAGGTTTATAATTAACCTCTCCAAAGGGACTCGGTGAAAATTATACCAAGGTTACATATATAGAGACCAATAGACGCGTCCAGGCAGTTCGTTGGTGGCCAGACAGCCTCGAGAACAGATAGCGATGACGGAAACTACAACCCCGCCGCGCCGGCCGCTTTGCCCCAAACCTGCATAAATGTCCCAGGCTCATGAACCCGCCGTACATCGCTTGCTCGCCAGCCTGATGTTTTTACTGTAATGAGGCTGTGGTGAACTTGGCAGAAACACATACAGGAGCTACGCACGAGTAAAACTTTAAAATGCCAAATAAACAAATGCGACCCGTCAATGTACCTGACATACCGTAATTTGGTCACAATGCAACGACTACAATGGGCATCCTATCACTTAAACTGTACGTACGAGGGTATGCACACCGACCTTCCGAAGTACTAACGAATAGATCTCACCGCCGCCACGCGCGCCTCCAATGCAACCCATAACAGGATATTACATGCATCACAGTTCAGTCATTACGTGCAAAGATGATAACGTTGGTTATACATCAGTCTTCATGGCTGTACAATCAAATGCAAGCATGAATCTACGCTGCTATACAACAAAGCGGTTCGCAGTAGTTTGCGGTGCGTGACCAATGGGTCGCATGTTGATGGTGATGAGGGATGCCACCCTCAAGGAGCCGCCCCAGCACGATAGATGGGGCAGCATCTGTTGTTGTCGTTAAAGAGGCTCACGAAGCTGCACGGCGGGCGTGAGGGCGGGCCAAGCATAGGTTTATTCATTCAGTGTGACTCCCAGGACAAGCAAGCCGTGACTGAATGTGTTGAAGAGGCAGAGCAATTGCTTGCTTAGCTGGTCTATGTAAGAGATTCACACCCTGAACATTGACTCACGGTCCGGCCCCCTCGGCCCTCGCCCCCCTCGACCCACACCCTCGACGCTGACACGCGACCCACCACTGGCCCTTCAGAAGGCCCTCATTGCCGAGGCAGAGCTTGCTGATTGATCCGGCGTTCCTGAGCTCGATGCACACCTTGCCGCCGCTGGCTTGCGTGGGGCCCCAGTTCATGGGAGTGGCTGCGAGAAAAAGGGGAACGGCGGCGGCGCAACCCCGCGGACGCGGAAGCAAGGACAGTCGCATCTATAAGAAGCAAGATGACATGCGTTTATTATGGCCAAAAATCAAAGCACTATGCGAGGAACGAACGGCGCCAAAAGGCGCCAGGCGACCAAGGCCTGGACACACGGTAGAAAAAGCAACAGGCAGGACGATAAGATTGCGGCCCGGCGCCTGGCTCGCCGGTTGCGTGCTTGACCTCCCATGAGGCGAGACTCCGCGGGCACCATTCTTCGCGGAAAATAAGCCGATATTAGCCAATGGAATCATGCGCCCTTGCACGCCCGTCCGCGCCGCGACCTTACCCTTGAGCGTGTTGAAGCCTGCTGCCCCCCAAGTGGAGGCCAGGGTCACGTTCGGGCCGGTGCGCGGAATCAGAAGGAAGCCCTTAACCAGCGGCTTAAGGGTCTCATCTGCGCCAAAAGGGGCAACGGACACGCCAAGAAAGGTGCCAAGGGCCGTTTATTAAGGGCAGACGCCACTGCAGGTGCGTGGCTGAGTGGCCGCCGCCGGCGCGCGACAGTACCGGGCCGCTGGAAGTCTGGGGGAGGGTGTATGGGGCACGTCGTAGTAATATCTGTGGCTGCGCCTCTATGGCTTACAGCCTTGCAGGCTTATTATTGGTACCGATACCAGACAAGTCCTGTGGTCGCTTACTGAGTACGGGTCCTAGGAGACACATGAACGGTTCATCCGGACGAGGGAGTGCGGTGGGAGGCACGCAGGCGCTGTGACATCCACGGATGGACACCGCTGCTTATGTACCCGGCTAATGGTATGTCCCCTGCTAATGTACGTACGAGCCATACTTGGCGAGTTGCCTAGAAAGCGAAGCCCGGCGAACGCTGAGAGATGGAAGGGGGTATGTAGGTCGAGTGGTAAGCATGCAGGTAGGTATGTAGGTCGAGTGGTAAGCATGCAGGTAGGTAGATAGATACCGTAGGTAGGCGCCGCAAACTCACCCGCGTAGAACTCGACCTTGCTGAGCACATCTACAGGTCCACAGCCGCCCGGAATGACACGTGCCTGCGGGCGGGGACAGCACCAGCACCGGCACCAGCACCAGCACCCGCATGCAACCAGTTCAGTGACAGGCTCATTTCCGGAGGGAAGGTAAGGCCCATGCATCTCCAGTGGATTTATTTCCGGGTGCGGGGCAAATAAAGATGCGCCACAACTAACCCCCCACTTACGTCCACTAATGGGGCAACTGGGAGCTTCTGGACGGTGAAGCAATACAGGGTGGTCTTCTTGACGGGGTCGGGCGGATAGGCGACGTAGCGGGGGGAGATAGTGTAGGGCGTCAGGCCGATGGTAGTGGTGCACCTGCAGGCCGGCAGACGGCGTTGCACGTGAGAAGGCATGTGGGTTTATTTACGTGGGAGTGATGGATGCTGGCAAAGCAGGCGCAGCAGGTGCACGTCGCAGGCGCAGGCGCAGGGGCGAAGATAGAGAGGCTGGAGACGCATGGACAACCGTTCCCGGCTTGACACCGATAGGCAGGCCACCCTAGAAACACCCTACGTAGCTAGGCACACTT